AAGAATTGAAAGAGAGGATGCCCGCCTGGGCCAAGATGAAGAAGGAGAATAAAGGGCAGCTGATTTTGTTAGATACAAAGATTTTTAGAAGTAGAGTAGGGTCCCTAGTAGACTCAGGGGCCACCCGCAGCTATATTAGTAGGAAAGCGCTGCAAAAGTTGAAGTTGGGACTTAAAGTCCAGAAACTGACAGACCCCATAGTTAGTATCCTTGCGGACAATCGTACCATGGTTGTAAAGGATTACGTTGAGGGAGTCCAGGCGTATTTCCGCCTAGAGAAAAATGGGAAAGTGGAGAAAGTCCTCCACTCCCTGACTCTCCTCGTAGAAGACAGCCTCCCGTTTGATATTGTGTTGGGAATGGATTGGGGAGAGGTAGCCGGGGCAACGCTCCATCTGAAGGAGCACGAGTGTAGGCTCCCTAGTTCGTTAGGCGAGGCTAAGATTGCCCGCCTGTTCCATGTGTCAGGGGTAGAGAATTCCTTGGCGCATTGTTGCCTTAGTGCCCCCGCGTTCGCCAGACTGGTGAAGGAGGGATTGGAGGAACATGTCTTTGTTGCCTATGTTAGGCCAGTCACTGAGCCTATGGAGGAGAAACCGATGGACCCTGTGATTGCCAAACTATTGGAAGAGTTCAGGGATCTAACCGAGCCGCCGATAGGAGTAGTACCGCGGCCCATCCAGCACCGCATTGAGATAGAGCCTGGCAGTAGAACTCCTAAGGGCGCCGTATACAGGATGTCCCCACGGGAGTTAAAGGAACTTCGCAAGCAGTTAGACGAGCTCCTCGAGAAGGGTTGGATTAGGCCCAGTTCGTCTCCTTTCGGAACACCTGTCCTCTTTGTTCCTAGGAAAGAGGGAGAGTTGAGAATGTGCATAGACTATAGGGGTCTGAATGCKATTACAGTGAAGAATGATGAGCCACTGCCGAGGATAGACGATCTTTTAGATCGAGTGCAGGGGGCTAAGTATTTCTCTAAGATAGACTTAAAGTCCGGATATCATCAGATAGAGGTACACCCTGATGATCAGTATAAGACATCCTTCCGGACTAGGTACGGGCATTATGAGTTTATAGTGATGCCCTTTGGACTAACCAATGCGCCAGCAACTTTTCAGCGGTGTATGAATGATTTGTTTAGGCCGTGGTTAGACAGATTCGTTGTAGTTTATCTAGATGACATCCTAGTGTTTAGCCGGACCCTCGAAGAGCATCAGGGTCATCTCAGGCA